TGCTTAAACAATTGCATGACTGTTTTACATCGATGCCTTTAGACACACATCCGGCGAGAAATAACACGCAACAAAATGGACTAATATTATATACTATATTCCGCAATAGTTTGTGAAATTACATGCAAGTGCATTAAAACAGTAACGGCAATTGCGGCGAATTGATAATCAGACGTCTTCCACGCGAGTTTTCATCGCTGCGCTTGATGCAGAAAGTGTGTCAAGAAAACGCATGGGTGTTTGCAATGTAAATGCAATTGCAACGCATTGTGTATTTATCCGTCTACGCACTGTTTATGTTACAACGCGTACAACACCATCTAAATTGTAATCTACTGCAGAAAATGCTGCATAAACTATTCTTGAGAATCGAGAATGCTTCAATAAACATTTCGATAGTAATTAGAAATAAATAAATAAATAAAAAATAATAAGAGATAACAATAAAATAAATAATTTATTCAATAAATAGGGAACCATCTAAATTGTAATCTACTGCAGAAAATGCTGCATAAACTATTCTTGAGAATCGAGAAAAATAATAAAAAAAAAAAATAAATAAAATAAAATAAAATAAATAAAATAAATAATAATAATAAATAAATAATTTATTCAATGAATAGGAAACCATTTAAATTATAATCTACTGCAGAAAATGCTGCATAAACTATTCTAGAGAATCGAGAAATAAATAAATAAAACAATGATAATTATTAAATTAAGGCCATGCAATACGATATTATTATTGAGGAAAATTCTTAGAAATAATTACACACACAATAATAGTTAAAAAATTTATCATTGAAACGAAATTGGTAATAAATTAATATAAATAAAAAAAAGAAAAATAAAATAAAATAAAATAATAAAATAATAAAATAACAATAAAATAAATAATTTATTGAATAAATAGAGAACGCGTTAAGTAAAAGCAATAAAATACAAGTTCGATCGAGCTGAATGAGTTGATCACGAATGAAATTGAGAGCGATGATGAGTAACGAGTTGCTCTGATAAATTTCGATGACACAGGAAGGTCGCAACGGAACCGCAACTCGATCATTCAGTTTCGTGGGAAACACAGTCGGTCGAGCGTTTAGCACTTCCACTTTTCCCCTCATTAGCATCCCGAATGGCGCAAATAAACGTAATAAACGTCAGTGAGTCATAAAGTCATAATTCCTCAAACGCTAAAATGCCCGCTGAAATGCGCGAAACCCCTAAACGCGCTGGCAGACAAACTCTTTGGAAGCCCGCACCCGATAAAATCGGATTTTCTCTGCCACCACAGACTGCGTTGGGAAAGATCCTGCATGTAGCACACGGTTTATGTAACGCGATCGACGATCCCGGGATAGAGGGAGAGAGAGAGAAAAAGAGAGGATTTTTTGGCGGAACCGCATTGTGCATTCTCTCAATCCGGTTTTGAAACCCGACGAAGCCGATACGCGTATGTGGCACCAGTTACACGACATGTAACTGAGCAGGATGTCATTACACGAGATATATCGCGGGCGTGTCAGTTATAAATAAATAAGCTGATTGCCCGAATTCGCAATAATGCAATGAACTTTAGTGCATGAAAAGTATATCATGCGAGAAAGAATAAAAGTAAAAAAAAAAAGCAATTAACTTTCTATTTTCTTATGATAAATTACTGATTTAAGATCTCAAACTAATTGAAATGATCGAGATTATCTTCTTTTTTTGTTGTTGTTAATAAATCATAGTTATCATCAAATCTATCAAATAAAAATTAAACCCATTTATAATTTAATTTATATTAAAAAAAATTTCTTTCAACACTCGGAATATTCTGTACGTGATTAATTGATTTAATTTTAATTTGTCACAAAATATTTAATTATCATATGCGAAATAATTTGTATAACGCGGAACACTGACATAATTATCATTAATAATAAAAGTGATAATACCCGTCATTATTTATGTAACTCCAAGGTTCGATTTTGATAAAATAATGAATCTCACAGGTAGCTCTGTTATGATCTAGAAAGGAAACTTTTCCGGCTCGTTCGTTCAAGATTTTAAGATATGTTCAAATTCGTAAAGGACCAAATAAGGTCTGTAAATTATGAAAATTTTCCAACCATTTAGTGATACAATTAAATGACTTAAAAAAGTATTTTATGTTTCTAAATCTTATGATAATTTTTTTTTAACGAAGATATCACGCGTAAAATGAGAGAAAGGACTACTCACGTGCGTAGCTCCAAGCTCTTCGATTTTGATAAATAATGAATCTCGTAGGTAGCTCTATTATAATCTAGAAAGGAAACTTTTACGGCCCGTTCTCAGCCTGGATCGAATAATTGTTCGGTCCTTAGCCGTGAGGCATCCTCCCGCTATACCTGAAGAGAGCCGGATATTCGGGTCTGATGTTTCGCAATTTCTTTATACTGGTTTCTCTTATACTCTATGTACGATACACTTTACGCTGGTGCTCACTTTCTATAGCGGAGGAGAGCACCGACAGGGAAAAAAGATTGCGGTCGTCACGCGGTGACGTCACACGTTCACCATGTCTTCGTCGAGGCTGTCCACCTTCTCTAGGTAGACCGAATTTCCGATACTCAATCGCGTCCTTTCGGTTCGTTTTAGCGGTCGGTCCCTTAGGAGAGTCTAAATTTGAAACCTCATTTTTTTTCGTCCGAGTAATAATGTCAGGAAGCTGCTTTTTGTCATGTCGAATATATTATTCGTCCATTGCGTAACATCAGTGTTGTGATTTTAAAATTAGGATAAAAATGAGATAAAAAAATATGAAAATTATTTTGTTTTAAATATATCTAGATAAAATTATACGGCGATTCATCTAGATAATAATTTTGAAGACTGCTTATGCAAAGACAGTTATAAAAAAAATGTAAATTATAAAAGAGATATAAAAATATATTTAAGTATTTATATGTGCTATGATTCTAAACCAAATATATCTGAAAATGATTCTAGATAATTTAGCAAAGATATAATACTTTTTTTATCTAAGATATGCAGATATAAATAATACATATTTTTATTATCTATATAAAGATAAAATAACGTCAAAGTTTCATTTAGGTGATCGTCTATATAATTTGATTTAGATAACAGCAAACATTGCGTAACATATCCGATTATATATAATATGTTATACAAATTTTCTGACATTTTTGTGAAAGCCGATTGGAAATTAAGACGTCATCAATATTCATTCGGGAAGAAGTTGGATTATGTTGAGAAATCTCTCGGCCAAATTTGTATGCAAATTACTGGACGATGCGTACATCCGCTGTCATCTCCGATTATGCGAATTATTCAGGTAGCCGTCTTTGCGTCTCAAAAGTGTCTTTTAGTTTCGCGAGCAAACGACGCTATAAAGGCTTCCGGCAATCAATCGCGAATATGGAAATAACTCGATAAACCTCGATAGCAGAAGGATCGCTGACGTATATAATATATAACATATATCGATCGATGTCGTTTCAACGGGATTCGATAAACTGTCAGCAAGCGCCGCTATCTAGCGTTATTATCTATTCAATTGAAATTCACACGACATGCGGGCCTGTTCTAAAACGGAATTCGATCTCATCCCGATCAGATATTTGACAATTACACGCCACGTAACATGTAAAATACCGTAGAAAGTAAAAGCAAAGAGAAATGTGTGTCTCTTCGGGCTTACGAGTGTGTACGTAATCGAGAAAAAAGCGGTTGATTACCTCTCATATATCTTCTATTGCCTCTCGTCAGCTTAATATATGTATACTAATTTCAACACCTTGCTTAATATATAATTAAAATCGTGAAATTAAGTGATTATTTAAAAATAGTTGCAGTCATAAAATAGCAGCTTTCGCCGCAAGAAAAATATTTCATAAATCTTTTGGAATCAAATAAATAAGCATCGACAACACGTATATGTTACTTTATAGATATATTTTATAATCCGATTAAACGTGAACACATTTATTTATTTAATGTGTACTGAAAAAGCATGCGTATTTGTAATATTTGAAAATTTTGTAAGTTTTCCTTGGAAAAATAACTTTTCAGATATATATAATATTTTGTTCCGAATATGTAAAAATTGATAATCTCTTTATATGTGTAGAATTGCAGAAATTTTAATATTGTAACAAAAGTCACGTGTATTGCTATTTTCAATAATTTATTTTTAAATAATCGTTTAATTTCGGAGTTTTAAAAAATAAAATTAATTGAGTTGTACACATTTGTACAATAATAAACATAAAATATTATAAATAAATAATGACAAAGAAAATAGTTTGTAACATAGTGATCATATCAGCTAAAAATGTAATAAACATCGAGCTATTGCGCTGTATCATATTATACTTGCATACTTGTTTATTGCATCAACTGCACTTAGCCTTAAGGCCGAGTTATTTATCTCAATTAGCTTCCACATTCTTACGCATAGTAGAAAAAAGATACAAAGTATTAAACTACAAATAATAAATGTTATTAATTATGAAGCTAAGCAGCACATTAAAATTGCACATTATTTAGCAATGTGAGAATAAACATCTATTAGAAACCACAATCTAGATTTACAATAATAGTAATTTCTTTTGAAATAATCATTATTGTCTTCATTTGATCTTATTTCTCACGCGCTAAAAGATGCGCGCTAACAAATAAATTCATCATTACAAAATTGCGAGTCAAACGTGGACACAATATCCACTCCTCGAGTATTTTTTACGGATAAAAAATTCAAGAATGTACCTACATATAAGGAAAGCAAATTTTGATGAATTAGCGTGGAGTAAAGTGCGCTTTTGTCCAGGCAATTCTAATTTATTCGTACTTTCCACACAAGCGAAAAAAATGCTCGAGACGACGTCTGGCCACGTTGGGGAAGAGCGAGGCAAGAGGCAAAAGGTGTATCAGACAATCAAGTAGAGGAAAGGTGTGTACCTCCCGCGAGCTTAGCAGCTCAACGAACGGGCAGTTACCTTTCCGTTCTACAACCGCGAGGATCTATCTCCCTCCATAGCGCAGAACCTACTGATCACTACCTCTGGGTGAGTTGTCTAGGCGCGAACATAAGTCTCTTTATCGCGGTTCTTAAATGGGACGTTAACTTTACGCGGGTTATCGTCTCTAGTGCTCGAAAAAAATATATTTACTTGTGAATCTCTCGAGGAAGTGTCTCCATCGCTTGATTTCATTTTATTCAATTGTGGTAAGTTGAAGGTTTTTGTTTCAATTCTTCGATATATCGAAATATTACGAAATATTTTATATTCAGAATCAATCCTTTCTTCCATTATTTATTTTTCCAATTACTGTAAGTAATTATTTATTAATACAAGCACATATTAGCCGAATATAATAATGTTGAAATATCACAAGGATGGTATATATATCATGCACCGTTTCTTTTACAAAGAGGAAGCTTATATACACGTGATGTCATTGTATAAATCCGGCTGGAGATTGGCATGATACATGCAAAAGGGTATCGTTTCTACGTCGTCGGAATATTCAAGGCACTGCATTTTAATTTTCGCTTTGATAGCTTTCACTGTTGCTCGCAATTTGTTTGATCACGATGGTGTTACAAAGTAACTGCAATCTATACTCTACACAAGATAACGTCAAAAGCTCTTATGACAAAGTGAAAAGTTGTGCATTAATGACTCCGTTAATGAAAATGATGCAGCTGACATAAGCGGTGCAAGACAATCGCACAAAGGGATACAAATTCTCTCTCATATAAAAAAGAATAGATTATTACAGTGAATTGTGTGCGCAAAGTTTAATAATACATAAGTGACGAAAATGTGCATTTTTTAAAAATAAAAGTAATAAACCGGTATTATTTTAAGAATATTAATTAATGAATAAAGTGCTAGTAAATTTTCGTGAATATTAATAAAATATAATTACGCCGTCAAATTCGTGCATTACTGTAATATTTGTATCGCGTGTAAAATAAACTTTGTATTATGTTAATTTGAGATATAGACTTTTACTTTCAATTTATAAATCATTTTGAGTTTCTAACGTGTTATTTAAGCATGTGAGACTTCATTTATTGTTTTAAAGATGAGAATACAAGTTTCTATGTCGAATATATAAATCTTTCGATATCGGAAGTTAGCTTGTCGTTGATTACGTTTTGCCTCGTCCGCATTTCGGTTCCGTTAGCACTGCCGTTTGACGTATCTGGGTTTAATGTTCGTTGTACCGGTTCCGTTTACAATCTCGAAGCAAAATATAAAATTCGCCTTCGATTTCATTCACCGACATTGAACACGTAACAATTTTTTTTTAATTTCTACGCGGTGATTAAAATATATAAAAATATGAATAATTTAATATTGTATAAATATTTTACAATTAATATTTTGATAATTTAAGATTCCATAGATATCTATTTTTTCCAATAAAATTGTATTATTTCTTTTAAATTAAAGAAAAACATTATATACGTATAGATGTATATTAATATTAATGCGTTATACTTATTTTTATTCCACGTCAAATATTAATTTAAATTAAATTTTCCGATCCAATTCTGCAGAGCTTAAAATATAGGAACGCGTTCTAGCGTAATGACGATTCGCAATTAGGAAATTATTAGCGCGTTATTAGACGCACACGTTGGCAAACCGCCGCGATGAACAACGAGGTTTAATAAGCGGCGATTTATACCGATCGTAAAATCCAGTCCCGCTGCTTCTTACGCGACTCCAAGTTTCACGTTTTCCGTATACAAACCGCCGTTTCCATCGACTTTACGAGCGTGAGGCAGATATATACGTTACGTAAAAGAGCGTGTCAGGAAGTGCGATTCCGATATCGAATCGTCTTGAAATATCTACTTATATAAATGTAAATATAACGAAGCCGAATGTGTTTGTATTTGCAGACCCATTGGTAAACATTATTGTTAAAGCTAACACACAGTAGAAATATATTGAATTGAAAATTCAAATGGGCGAAAATAGAATTGTAGATGAATAAATATCCAATGATCCTATTTTCAAGTTCGGTTACCGAAATCAAATTATAATTTCGGAAGCCAAGTTCGAGTATAAACATAGTTAGCGAAAGACGTTAATTAGATCTAGATACGCGAAGAAAAAAAATGCAGAAAGTTAGCTGTTGTTAGTTCTACTTGTATCTAGGTCTAATCTCATTCGCGAGGCCGTTTAACCATGATATCTATATCGTGGCATCTCGAAGACGCTCGACAGATAATGAGATAAGAAATATCGCGTGTTCTCGCATACAAATAGTATGGAAAAAAAGTAGCGATACTATCGTCGCGATTCTTGCATTCTTAAGCGGTACACAACGCGTTCGTCACGCTCGCCTGAATGAAATTTCGCAACGAAATGATGCTGTTGCGTGCGCGCCGAGTATTTCTTTTTCTGCATTTTATATATAACATATATTGTATTTAGCAGTCGCGAGGTGGTGGCCATCGGAATCCGATTCCACATAACTTTCCCAGGATTTGTTTCCCCACACCCAGCAATGTAATATCGAGCAGTCGTAAATCCGCGATTATAACGAACCGACCAAAGAAATCCGCAAGCATGATTTGCGATTTATTCCTTCGGATTTACCTATAACTGAGCAATCAATGATGTAAAGTTTCGTGTCAGTAGTACACGAAGATGTCAATTATTTTTTTTCCTAGTTTAAAGCAGAATTTTCTATAAAATAATATATGTATGTCACATGTTTATTGGATACTTTTAGGTAAAATAGACAGGGTGTCCAGCAGACTCAATGACAAAAATTCCCTGACATTTTAGTATTATTTTTTCCAAATATATCATTTGCATATATACGGAAGTTAAAAAAAGAAAAATTTAAATCAATTATACAATCGGTATTACGTTCGATAATCGCCTTTTTTATTTATATATCAATTTTTTTTTGTTTTATCTCTATTAAACACATTGAAATAAAAAAATAACAGGACGATAAAAATCTAAATGAACAAACACGCTGTAGACGAATCGATTTTGAACAACACAGAAAATTAGCGTGCAGGGAGTCAAGGAAAAGTTGATATTTTGAATTATTTGAAATTCCCTGACAATGCCAGGTTTTCGAGATCTCCCTGAGCGTTAGACACCCCGAATGGAGCATCTTGGATGGCAAAGAATTTCTATTGGAATAGAAGGAGCCTAAATGCAAGTTCGGTCTGTGAATTTGCAGGTAGCTCGAGAGGAACGGGCCGTCCGAAGATGACGTCGATCGTGCTCGCGTACGCTGCTTTCATTGCGTTTTCATGCGTGGCGCAGGCGATCTCGTCGTCCTGGAGACCGGTTCTGCCGGCCCACAACGTCGGCGCGAGCATTCTGCATCAGGAGGCATCGATTTTCGAAAATGCGCCTACGCAGACGCTCTACGACGTGGACGGTTCTCATCACTTGCTGCTGTCGCACGACCAAGACACGAACAAATGTTCCCTTTACAAAGTCGCCATGACTCAGCAGCTGTATTTTGAGGTAGGTAGGTTACCGAGAAAATTGTGGCAATAATGGCTCTTTATTTTCTACATTTATATATATAACGATTATATCGATGGAGATGAAAGGAAAAATGTCAATGGAAAAGAATCGTCGTACAAAAAATATATATGGCATAAATATAGATGTATGCAAGATGAGAATAATTATGATAATAATATTGGCGAACAATCAATTAAGTCATTTGCAGTATGTTTATTTAGACGTAGAACAATGTTATATGTTCTAGTTTCGCGATATCGATATTATTGTTCCGTTCACGTATCGGGAAATGTGGATAGTGGTTATTGCCGAATACAAATTGCTTTACAGATTAGATATAATGTAATTGGAAATTGAGGTGTTGCAAATTATAGTATAATTTCGGGGTCATCTGATACATGACCACAATTTGTAATTTTGTGATTAGGAATTTTCGATTAAATAATTACACGGTAAAATATTATTGGATGTGAATATGAAGATAAAGATAGTATATTCCATAATAGTAGGTGTAGCCTATAATTTCGATTGAAATTATAGCATTATAATATATAGGGAGAATGCAATATTTTAAAATATGAAAAATTATCAATTTTATCAATTGATTTAGCGGTGAATTTCAAGTTTTCCTTATTAACAAAATTTCTTGCAATAAAAGTAAGTTCTCGTTAAATAAATTGCAAGAAGTTACAGCAATTTCCTCGGCACGGTAACTACACTCTTCCTGATCCACGTCTCGCGTGCGACTAACGTTAACGGAATTCTGTACTTCATATGCTACGTGAAGCGCATTTTACGCTCGAGAGAAAAAGAGGAAAAGAGAGGGAAAGAAGGAAAGAGAGAGAGAGAGAGAGAGCATTGGCATTGCAACTGACCAAGAGATTCGCGGTGCAAGCGAAATGACAACGAAAGTAGGAGAAAACACTCTCTCGAGGTACCAAATCCCTCCGGGCGTAATCTCGAAACGAGTTCTGAATTTTTTTTATACCGTTCGTTACGATTCTAAAAAGCGAAATCGTTACATCTGATTCCTAATCGATTTACTTAATTCGCCGCCGTCTCTCGTAAGGTTCGTTAAAGATAGAATACGGGAGCGGTTCTTTTTTTAACGTAACTCGTAGTCGAGAAAGCGAACGTTCTTTCTGGGTAAATTATTCACTCATCTGATGCAGCAGCGGCAATATTCCTCGGTAAATTTTTTTATAACAGCCGGGAAATAAATCGTAAGCTCATAGAGAGAGATGATTAGCGGAAGCGGAGTAAAGATAAATTGCGCTTTCCAGCAACAAAAATTATTATTTATAACTTTGTACATATTTTAATTATTTTATATGTATTAAATCTCTATCGTATTCTACAATAGACATATACTATAAATTTTAACTATTGAATAATCATTTCCATATTTTGATAGATATACATTTTTATGTAATATTGTGATATTTTATGTTAATTAATATTCAGATGAAAGAAGTTTTGCTCGATCAAATTATTACACGAAAGACGCTGTGACTATAGACTTCACTTAAAGAGAAAGGAAGTTAAACTATTCCGGTTTATGTATTTAGAATGGCGATTTAATAGCCTTCTCACCGATACAGCTGTTCGAAAATATACCTATAATTATTTATATCTCTTATTAAACCGCAAGTTGAAATATTTAAAACAATAATCAGCTTTACATTTATATTAATAAAACGCTAAATATATATACATATATACATATATTTTTTATACGATATAAAATTTAATAAGCCTAATAAATTTGAAGAACCATTATTATTTAATATGGCCTTTATGATAATAATTGAACAGAACAGTCTTGTTTGTTCTTTAAATCCGTCAAGACAATCCAAGAGAAAGAGCGAGGAATGGCAAAGATATAAAATTTTCGCTCAAACTTTCGCGCAATCTATGACAATTCTCGAAGAGATAATCTATCGATGCGATCGGCATGGATAAGATCGAACGCGATGGAAAGCGAGCGATGGAAGACGAACGGCACATTTTCTCCGTTCATCAAGATCCGTGCCAAGTAATATCATCGAAAGATCGTTTGGACTGGACGTAGGAGAGCCGGCATTGATTGCGCAGCTGCAAATGAGGGAAAAGAGATACTGTCGCGAAATTGCCAATCGCAAATGAGAGGATTCGCGAGCGGAACAAAGCCAGCCTGTCCGCCGTATGACTTTCTACGATCGTTACACGCAATTATATATCTTCTCCAGCAACCTGCTATCATTCGCGATCGCTCATCAACTTCGTTCTCTCCCCTGTCACAATTAACGGATCGCGTCGACGCGATCGGAGCCTCGGCCCGGAATGATAATCGATAATGTCAGACGGGATATTAGAAGCGCGATCGCCGAGACAAATTTGTGGAAAAGCGATTTGCGAATTAATCACGCGGAGAAAACGGAAATCGCATTAGATGTCGATATAGATTTCGTGCAAAATGCCAGTCGAGCTAGATACACAGCAGCGGAACCAATTGATTTTGTGGCGAAAACGCATTTCCACAGGAAATATGCACATGTGCTTAGAATCATGAAATTACTATCTCAAGATAGATTTGTGTTTCATAGTTTTTCTCCGAGCAGATCTCGGCGCGCTAATGAGAAACATTTATTTGAATAAATTACCGTACAGAATTGAAGTCGAGTTTTTTTTTTTTTTTAACAAGAGAGAAGCTTAGAATCTTACCTTATTATACGTAACATCGAACGTATCTTGTTGCTTAATTAAAAAAATCATTTCTGTCTCGTTATATACTTCATAATTTTTTCCTCCTTCAAGTATCAATAATTTTAGACATCTAGGAAGAATTAAGTACAAAAAGAGAGAGAGACACGCACATACACACATGCGTATAAATGATGGTGTGACGTTACAGCTTGGCATATCGATAAATCATATAAATCGCTGATACAAATCATTTTAATGCAAACACATGCAAGGAAATTGAGTGAGCGCATCTCACTGGATATACACGATTGAATATTTCATCCTGCTCGTCAAATTTACGAGGTCCCCCCTTTTAGAGGTCGGTTGAAACATTACCTGTCAGGTCCTTACTCGGAGAGTGTAATGCGCGTTGACGCGCGTATTTCTATATAGTACTTAGTATAGGCGAGTTTATGCGAGTTGACGACCGTAAAAGGAATTGGACGTGCAATCTCGACCGCAGTTGGTGCCGCCGCGATTTTGCGGCCCGTTTTTGGCTCGCGAAATCTGCTCTCCATATACACCAGAGCTCTCCTGTCGGAGAAATTATTCGCGCCCAAGAAGCTATGCCTCTCTCGCGTCAATAACGCACGACGTAATCGATTAACCGTGGATTCGCACAATTATCGATGAAAAAGCGTGCACTCTCACGTTTTGAAAAATTCTTCGCGAATGGCATTCGAAGAAAAAGATGTTTAAAAGAGCTCTATTATTTTCTGAAAGCACATTGTGAAAGCTGGAAATGTGATATAAAAAAAATTGCTTCTTTAAATGTAAAGTATAGAAACGCGAAAAAATTACATCTCTAATTTAAAAAAAATTATTTAGCAAAATCTTCCGCTGACGGAGCAAATTAAAAAAGGATAAATACGAAAAAATGAATGCAGAAATCATATTTGATATTAAAATGTAATATTTTTGTATAAAGTATAGCTTCCCAATTTTATTTATTTAACATAAAATGTTTCAATTTTTATTCTAAAAAATAAATTACATTTTTATTTATATTTTATATTTCTTCCGTAATCATCATAATTCGTTCGTGTTTGTTATATTAATGCTTCATATTGAGAGACATTTATATTTGGAGTAGCAATACAATAAACATGGTAAACGCGAGTGTCTGTTATTTTACAATTCCGCGTGCAAGAGACAATTTTATTCCCTAAGATATATAATTTACCGTTTATATACTCTATCAGTATATTTAGTTTCCATTCTAGACTCAGAAAATGTCGTACGTAAATTTAATTAAGCGTAGCACGTCAACATTCGTGTGACTAATTAATTAAATAAGTGCAATCATTGTTGCAATTTCGCGTCCCAAATGAAAAAAATACATACGTATACACTTATGCTTGCATGTATTTTTCTCTGTTCGATTTGATAATATTATTCGACGGATCGTTTACTGCAAAGATGTAAACTCGAATGTCTATATCAAATTGCAATTATCCACATTGAATCCAACAACAGCTGTTGTCTCGCGCATACCGTGATTATTCGATCGCATATCCGAGGGGATGTTTGCTCGGCCAGAGACGAGCTTTACTTTAACGTGCGTTTTAGTGAGAGATCATATCGCGGCGGGATCGATGCCGACGATTAATAATGTAAGGCTTGATGTGATACGCGGAAGTGCGCATCCGGCGATTAAATCACGAAGTGCACATTAATCTTCGCTCTGTGTGTATATATATATATATATATATATATACCGGGAGAATTGACAATTTAAATCGCGATAGGCACGAAATTAACGTCACCCGCCGACACGATCTAACGAGCTATCTCTCATTCTGTTCCAGTACATCCATTACAAGACGGATCTGCCGGATCTGAAGGAGTTCACCCTTTGCATGTGGACGAAATTTTACAATCACTCCAACGACCATCCTCTATTCTCTTACGCAGGTGAGTAAGCGTTACTTAAACTCGCTTCTTTCTCCTTTCACCTTGTAAATATCGTATTGTGAAATATATCGGATGTGAAAGCGAAAGAGAGCCCGCCGGATATTTATCGTCCAAAGTTCCGCGCGTTAAATTTATCCAGTAATTGTATCAAAATTCTTTATGCGAATTAATCATAAAACATCTTAAATTCCTTATACAAGAGAATAAAAATATAGGATTATATTGTTTTACTTAAAATGTTTTTTTTTTTTTACGTAGAAATTCTTATCAAACATTTTGGTACGGAAATCATACAACTTTCTTTCCACGGTAATAAAAGCCAACACTGCGAACCACATAAGGAAGAAAGTAATTAGCTTGCAACATAACCGTTTAATTACCCACGTTCATCTATAATTAAAATATAATAAATATAAAAGAAAAAATAAACATTTTAATTTTAGAAACTCGTTACCGCTGAAAAAAACGCTGCATAAACTTGCGGTGTTATAAATTGCAGCGCGAACCGCATGTTTGATTAACGAATTTTATGTCGAGCGTTAATTCGTCGTTGACCTAGTTTCCCCGTAATTGATATATTGTTTACTAACACAGCGGAAATTACGAAAACAATAAACTTGCAAATGAACGGAAGCTAGGTAAATTCAATTGTCAGCATTTGAAAATGAGCATACGACATGTTCATGATATTTATACAGCACCCAAAAAATAATCCGTTGCAATTTTTCTCTAACACGGACTCTCCGACTATGCGAAAATATCATCCAAAATTAATACAAATAATATTTTCTATTTGCAAAGATTGTTTTTATAACTAAAATTATTTTAACGAAATTTAAACATTACAAAGTTCAAACATACATATATGTACAAATATTGATCAAATCCGCTTTTGTAATATTTGAATTTTATTGTACTTACGTTGTTTTTACGTACCTATTAAATCCATTATAACGGTGAACAATAATGTTTTTAATACGATAACGTAGGTAATTATTTTATAGTATATAATGAGAGTGTGAAACAAAGTTTGATTAAAAAATACTGTTATTAACTTCGGTCTGATGAAGTTTTACGTGATTATATAAACGATGCACAGCAAAAATATAATCCTTGAAACGTCAAAGAAGCGGTATAACAGTCTCATTTCGTAATCAATTCCGACATGTTTCCTTTTTGCGGATTAGCCTCGTAAGAAATAGTCATGCATCAAGCTGTGCCACTCCTCGCGTCATGTTAAGAATCGATTTACGCCGGTGCACATTATTATTCACGCGCGAACAATGATGTCGTCCGGCTATGTTTTCAATATGCAGTTTAGAAAGGTTCCGCGCGGTTTGCAGTTTTTGTACCGTGGTAGAAAGTTGCGAACACACACGCATACACACACAGATTGTTCTTTTCTTTCTTTTTTCCGTAGACACGGGCGAATACGTGACAATAGGCGGATATGCGCGGTGTCATAAATACACCAACAATAAGTCCCTCCCTTCGCTTGTGTCTAAAAAAAAGTCTCTCGGTTTCCAGAATCAATAGGACTACTAGAAATATATCATATATTGTAATCAAAAATAAAAGTATTTTTACAATACACATATTAGAAAACTTCTTCATCTACAAGTAATTTTTTAAATCTTCCAAAAATAAGATAATGCGGTCAAAATTAAATTTATTTCTAATAAAATTCGTGTTACTAAGAAATTAATTTATTATGAATCGATAAATAAAATTGAATACGGAACTTTTTGAAATATTGACTCGATAATACATAAAAACATTATAAAAGAGTCATAACAAAAAATAATTGTAATAGTTACTATCAAGTATCGGAGAAATGATTAATATAAATTAAAAATGATTTTGAAAACAGTGAATAAAGATAACAATCTAATATTAATTTTTAATTGGTTAATAAGTTCCCAAAATATGAAGAATGCAAAAAGCTCTTGACTGTTTTAACGCGAAAGCACGAAAATTACGAAATACGGACACACTGCACTTTAAGCTGTCAGAGAATCTGCTGTGCAGATTCCATTAGTAATCTCACAACCTAGTGGAGATAGTAGTACATCTGTTCTACTTATTTGCGCGAGAAGATTTCCTGTCTCTCTTTTGCATACGAATTAATTCGCACCTTCCAGTCGGAGATCAACCACGAGGAATACTGTCGTGGGTCGCAAATACACAGAGGAGTTCGTACTACATGCTCAACGTCAACGGTCACAACTTGTACAGATTGAATTATCCGCTGAGACTTAACAAGTGGTACCACTCCTGCCAGAGCTGGAACGGTCGAACCGGGGAATGGCAGATCTGGGTCAACGACGAGCGCGTAGGTCGCGGGTTCAACAACAGGGTAAGCATGACTTTGAGTTGGTTTTGACCCTACCTCGTACCCTTGTAGATAGATAGAATTCCCCCCCGGAAATGGCGAAGAGAGAATCATTCTTTCTTCAGCAAAAATAACGAGGTAACGCAGAGAATTTGCTCTTAGAATTTACCCGAAAAATCATGGTAATTATGAGACAATATTGGAAGAATTTTATAAGAGTTTCTCTGATTAAATATGTACACCATAATGAGATATAAAATATGTTCGGTTTATTTTACGATGTACATACCATACTTATTCATATTCTTCATTGTGGTAAAGATTATAATCAGAGAAACCCTTATAAAATTCTTCTTTATTTTTAGGGTAAATTCTACCAGAAAATTTTCTCCATATAAATTATCGCAATTTTTCGCAACTTGACATTTGACTATTTCACTTCAAAAATTACAATTGTGTTAACATAAAATTCACTTTAATTGGATGACAAATAATGCTTCGTTCTTTATGACGGATTTCAGCAGAATCATTCAAAGTATTTATTGCAAACTCGTTGATATTATCGCCTGTTCAATAAAATCATGATACAATAAGTAAGAAATGCGTTGATTTTTCTTATTGCACTTCTCTCTTGTGCAATAGCATAAATCGTGGCGCAGTGTCCTTGATACTCCAATAAAAAAAATAAAAGCGAATGTTTCTCGTGTTTGAATCAAGCTTTTATTATCATACCCCCCTGCTAATCGCTGCCTCGTGTTTTGTCATTCTTGCAAAGTTAAAATAACGGTTCTCGCGTTTATGTAGCTCCAGGGATGTTAATATTCATTTGACCTTAATTAGAACGCGCATTACGATTTTTTTATTTTCTGTGAGTGATGTGCAGTGTTTGTGACTTGCACTTTTTTATATCTAAGAAACGGATAAATATCGCGCAATTTAAGATAAAATCGTAAACAATTTCCGGAAGCACGACTATTAATTACGCATTTATTATAATACAAGTAAACACAGTGCAAACTTGATAAATTATAAACTCAGCATGATTGTTATAATTGTTAAAAATAATAAATATTTAATAGAGACAGGCTGTATAAAAAAGCTTAATAAAATATAATGAATAATATTAGTAAGAGATAAACTCGATTCCCTCTGTAATATCTTTTTTATTCAATCTCTCTCTTTTCTCTGTCATATTAATATTATTCATTTACTGCTTTTTTAAAACACAAATGTAAAATAAAAATAGAGATAATTATGATCGGCTTTTGAGAAAACAGCGTAACATCGGAACGTGCACGATATGTTTGTACACTCATTACATTTTACTAATTATAGTACACGTTAAAATCACGTGATGCGAATGTCAACGACGATAAGATTTCACACCTCATCACGCACGAAATAAATGCATTAATACGGTCATTAATTAACGGTTGTTTTCTATATCACGCTACGAGTGATTATTCTTGTAGATAGAAGGTACGTCTGACCATACACGTAGCTCTACTACTAGGATGCAGAAAAGTCAACTAATTATTAATTCCAACTTTCCGATCTTATCTTATTTTTTTTATCTATTTTTATGTGATATAAATATAGTTAAAAAGTAGAAAAATAATTAATTTTTCAAAGAAATTAAAATTTACAAATATAATAAATTAGAGATGCTATTAAAACACAACGGTTCAGCAAAATAAAATATCTTATTATTTTCTAGTACTTGATATTGTTTCTCCGCTAAAGTATTTATGTCGCAAAATTATTCTGCACTGAAATTTCAAGATAAATTTAATCTTTCGAAATAACTAACGGAAATTCATATTTTATAGTACGTGACGTACTTACGTGCAAGTAGAAAAGTAAATTTTACGTAAAATTATATAAAATTTGTGCAAGAAAATTTCGCGGAATATTTCATACGTGATATATTTCAGGCATACAAAAATAAATCATAGAAAATATTTTAGGAAAGAATCTACGCTGTTTCTCTCGCAAGTTATATGCAGCAATTTAAGAAATTTGACTTCCGCGTTAAAATAAAAATATCTGTGACTGATTGAATTCTTGCAGTGCAAAGACGCGTTACATTTATTGTGCGTGCGATTTCACATAATCGCTACGTAATTTGATTAACATTCCGCAAATGTCTGTAATTGCGTACTAGAGAAGAATAAGAAAAACATTCACGAACATAACGTGGCATGAGAAGGCAAGTCTTATTTCATAAGGCTCCCACATTACAGTTCTCTCAATTATCGTTTATGTTAAACGCGCGAGGAATTTCTCGAACGAGCGTGTTTCCGGCATTTTCTATACTCGAGTCACGTTCGCGAATGTGTCGCGTTTAACCGTGCCTTTCCCACGCGAAAGTCGAGTGCACTGTCATCGCGGTTTTGTTATACTTAAAGCGTGCTTTTCGTTGGACGCGACACCTGCATATAGTTACTCATCCAACTGCATATAACATTTACAGAGACGCAACGTGTCATGAAAAATGTATCCATCTGTCAGAAGTTTTTTTATAGAAAAAATATTTATTTCTTCCTATTCAAATTTATTTCTACAGAAATTTAATTCAATATGTTTCATAAGGCATATTGAAATAATTAAAAGTGACACGTGTAATTATATATTCTGAAGCCAATAGCGACTTTTATACTGATCTGAAATTATATAACTATAATAATTAAAATAAAGAAAATTATAATAAATCATCAAGAGTAATTATAGTTGTCGAGTGCGAGATTTGCAATTAGGGAGATAATTCACTGTCCGTTCAGCTCCGTCAGGAGCTGTCAAGACGATAGTGGTCTCCTGTATTCAAATTGTGTCAGACAGAAACGAAATGGCGAAAGAATGAACGACGAAATAGAATAAAGGGGAAATGGAAAAATATAGAATTCCATATATCGCGATATTCTCGTCCGAGGACGTACCAAGGTTACATTCGAATAAAAAAAAAAGAACACAGAAACCAATTTAAATTTTCATATAGCATGGGGACGTGCTTTCTATCCCGCGCGTAGGGGACGCAAAATCCGTGGCTTTTACATATATTCTATTTACGTCGGTAGTTTATAAAGCTAATGTTTGCGTTTTTTCTCGAGCAATCGATTAAATCAATGTTAGGTCACAAACTGTATTTTCAGATTAATTGCACGTGTCACTTGTTAGACCAATGAGTAAAAAGACTATTATCGGAAAACACTCTTTAGATCTTTTTGTATCATCCCGTTATGCGAAAAAATTGCATTGTTTATTCCAGTTGGTTGGACATGTTATCAAAGGCGGCGGAATTGCCATTTCCGGTCAAGAGCAACGACAACTGGGCGGTGGTTTCTTAGAGGGTGAAGGCGCGCCACTGGGTAAGAATATTTTTACGTTATATCGCTAATTTTAAAATAAAGAGACAAACATTATTGTTTTTTTTAACAATGTGCTAATTATCGTACATGATATTTAAGCATGAATAATTCCTTGACTCTAAGCTGCTCCTTTTAATCATATCAAATTCATATTTAAAATTTCCTTTATATTTAACTTTCTCAATTAGTTCAATCAATATATTTTTCGATACACTTTTACATACGTAATACATTATCGAACATATTTAAATTTCCTTTAAATTTAACATTCTCAATTAGTTAAATCAATTTTCCGATATATTTTTATATGTATGTACATATATCAAAATTTCGTTTAAATATATTTTTATTGTGTATATAGGTATATAATTTTGAAATATCAATATAATATATTACGAAACATTTTTTAGTGCTGTCAAAATAAAATTTTTAAATGATGTATATGATTTAACACACAGAATTTTCTTTTAGAGAGAATTTACCCTGAACCTTCATATAGTAATCGTGAGACAAAATAGTATTGGCAGAATTTTACAAGAGTTTCTCTGATTAAAATATTTACCACAATAATATATAAAATATGTTTGATTAATATTACTATATACTAATATTAATATTTTTTATTATGGTAGATAGAAACTTTGATAAAATTCCAGTAGCACATATTATCCCACGATTAGCATGATTTTCAGGGTAAATTCTAAGAGAAAATTCTCTGCGTGTATTTATTTATAAGTTGACATATGAGGCGAAAATCTATCGCTTTCTTAAGAAATGTTATAGAGTCATAACGAAAAAGATTCTTTACCAGGTTCCGGCGGCTACTTGGGAGAACTGACAATGGTACAGCTGTACGGAGTAGCATTAACCGCGGGAAAAGCGCACAAGGATCACAAGCACCATCACGCCCATCATTACGAACATGATACGAGTAATAACACGCCGAGAACTACCACGCGAGCACCTGTAACCGGACCACCTTTACCACCGCATCCCTACCTCACCGGAGGACAGATCAATACACAAGTACAATCACGTTCCCTCACTTTGTTACATCCGAGAGCGCGCGTGTGCCGTGTCATCAAGCTAATTACCTTCGTTCCGTTCCTTAATTAGCGTCACCGTAAATAACGCGGAGGCGTCTAAAAGGCGGGTTCGTACGTATGAAGGATGTATGAAAAATGAAGACGTCATTAGCTCGTCTCCTCCAAGTTTTTATAATTGTCTTTTTTCGTTCAGACATACGCCTCGCGCTCTCAGACGTCACACGTGTTATTTGAATGTCTACCCACGTGCGAATTAACGTTTCAGGTGAAGATCAATCCAGGAGCGCCGATTCAGATCGTACAAAACGGCCTGACCATCCGGCATCCGGCGTTACCACCGGTACCGGAATCGCCACCACAGCCACTTCCGCCTTTAAATCTCGATGTTTTCTCGACATCCTTCCCTCCCGCATCGACACAATTCCTCGGCCCATCGCAGTCGTCGATTTTCGCAGACGGGCCCTATCGCAATCTCTTCAAGAGAGAGAAGAGTGACTCTAAGAAGCGAAACATTAAGGACGAAACGGTAATATCGAGTCTGACCGAACCAAAGAAATCAATTGCAAAAAGAGATACCGAGAAAACTTCGAAAACTGGGATTTCCAAGGTGAGCGCAATTAAGTCGAAATTAATTCGCGTGTCGATTTAAGGATAGAAAACGGTCTAACAAGATATTTTCTGTAATTTCTAGTCTCTTATTTATTACACCTCGTTTATATGCGCGTCTTGCTTTCAATACCTTTCACAATATATCCTTTTTTCTTTTTAACTGAAAGTTATTAGCAGCTTAAACATTTGTTCGTGAAAATCTCGGAGATTTCTTAGCCAGCATTAAATTGTAAGTTGGTTCAGTTTCGACCTACTTGACGTAGGAAATTAAAAGATTACAGTGAATCAGAGTGGAAATAATCTAATGTCGGTGAATACATTCTTTCCGACTTGCTTGCACGAAAATTTCAAGATTTTTTTATTGTATTACCTCGAAAAGATTTGCCGCGCATTTAGTAACTTTTATACTTTCAAATAAACTTTCACAGTTAAAAAATTTATATTGACTTACAAAGATCTTATATATTTATATATATACTTCATAATAAGTTTATATATATTTTATAATATTATTCTACACTCTTCTCTCGTTTTCTACAATAACATCCGATTAAAACTTTTCTAAAAAAGCCTTCGAATCAAAATCTGAAAATTTTAAGGGAGAGAGAGTCAAGTTTTATTATTAATATATACAAGCATTCTTTAAATTTCTATTTATTACATAACGTTTCCTTTTTCGAATTTTCAGGTATCCTTCGTACCAAAGTCAGAAGTGGCGGATGACAAGAAACTGGGAAAACGCGAAATCGAAAAGAAGAAGAAACGAGGATTATTGCAATTAAGTGACGGATCGCTCTACGACGACGAATACTCCATTCCTCAGAATCTGGACAACGACTATTTCACGGGATTAACGAGCTTCGGGTTGCAATTGACCAAGGATACGAACGAAGAGGACGAACGGGAACCCGCTGAAGGCGAGGTCAGACAAGTGATGGACATTTGTGACGGCTGCACCGAGGAACCGTTCGAAAAAGTATTGATCATAGGCTGGAGAACGGCGCCCAAGAAGCTCTATTCCGGAGCATTTTACACGCCAGCTGTACCGGCGTGTAAAGCGTTCTAAATCTCTTCGCCGACAACGAGTCGGTGTGATAAATTGACATTTACGAACGTTTCTCGCGTGAATTCTCAAGGGAGAAAGACATCTGCGAAATACCGCGCTGATAACGACTGATAGCGCTTCGTTAAAGCGGTCGACGACAGACCGAAACATTCCCAGGTATCCCACGCCATGTTTAGCTTGCCGAGTATCTTTAGTCGTCGGGTGAAGATATTTGTCACTCGAATCTTCTAATTTCTTTTTTTTTTTTTCGTTACTAATTCATTTCTTTTGACATATGCACATCATTTTCTGATGATGCATCATTATTTTTCTCTGTGTTATGTTCGTAAATGTTGGCATTTATAAACATTCGAACATGCCAAGAATATTGCCATGAAAAAATTTATGCGTGACAATATCTTGCCGAATATATTTATTTGCAATTTCTGTCCAATTAATCTATAACGTTTAAGATTAACTGTATAAAGATTCCACAAATGTTATAATGAGTTTCAAATCAATTATACGTTTCTAAATAATTTATAATAATTATATCACATTGGTAAAAAGTTAAGCTAAAAATTTTTTCTCGTTTAAATATGCAATAATATAAAGTAATTTTAAATGTTTAAGGACTAATTGAGCTAAATGTCTCAATAAAATGTATAAAAGCAGAATTTAATTAAGAGAAATATTCATTAGTAAAATACAGTATGCGTAGTCGGTCTAATAGGACGATATTAGTTTGTAAGTTGAAGAAACTGATCACGAATAATAACAAGCATTCTCAACAGAATACTCATCGCGGTTTTAAAATGCGTGCTGGTCGATTAACCTTAGGCGACACGAAGGAGAACTTAACTGCGTGACGGAAACCGCCTTAATCGATCGGCGACCTACGCTTCGGTCGCCTAAATTCAAGACTTAGCCCTAATGACATTTTGCATACATATAATGTATGCTAAATAAACTTTTATGAGCCGTTGTATTATGTTTCATTTATAATTCATCCTTATATATCAACATTTCAGCAGTATATGTATATTAGCAGTATATAAAGCAGTATATATTAAAGAAGAGCATATATTATAGCAGATATTATTAATATCAGTAATTTTTTTGATCATATCTTGCATATAATATTATTATTGTGAGATTTTGTTTTCTTATTCTTTCAATAACTCACTCCACTCCAATAACTTATTCTCAAAAAAGTGTGCAGTAACGATTATAATTTAAATGTAACCGATTTTGAATCCAACATCAAATTTTTTCTATGGCAAAAATTATAAAAATATATTGTTTTTTCTTTGGAAAAAGTTTTTAGTCTTTTTTAAATTTGAAATAAAATATTAAATATACGAAAATAATGCTAGATAGGCTAAATATATATTTCAAAGAGAAATATTATCTGTAGATATCTAAAAGTATTTTAAATAATATTCTGCAAAACTTTTGATAGTTATTTAATACACGAGCAATATTAATCTTTACAGATATATTTCACGTTTATATCAACTTTAAATACTCGTATATAAATTTTTAAAGATATACTTGTCGAATATGCTCAGGGATTTGTATTTCATACAGGGAATGAAAAATAAATGAGATTAGATTTTCCTAATCTCAAAATAACGCAATATCACATAATAGTGCACGTTATTATCAAGCAAAAAGATCTGACCATTCTTCGTGGTCGAAGAATATAAAAGCTATAGAGTAAGCAGGGAATCTCATAAACGTGCACTTACTTTGCTCTTGTGAATGTGCTGATGCTGATATTCGCTGTCGAATTCTGGCTCGCTGAAGTAGCTCTGATCTTCCCAATGGGGCGGTAGACCGCCGCCACCTCCTGGTACCCCCAAGGGTCCCGGCATTCCTGTCACTCCGTCGGCACTCTCGAAAAGTCTCAGAACGCTGCGATCCCTGATATCTCTCAGATGTGATCTGAAAATGAAAACAATTACGGTCATTTTTACGTTATTCTGCAATAATGTTCCTTTATTGAAATTAGCCGTTAAAAGTCATTATTATAATAAAAATTAATTTAAACTATAATATCTTTAGAATGTTGAATATGGTAATATTTTTTTATCTAATAAATTTTATTATATGTATAATTGAATATAAAATGCCTATTTTTATTTTATTGGTGTAAAAACAAGCAAGAAGGAAACACTGTTAATTTTTAGCAATAAAATATTTAAAGTAACATTTGATTATTTAAGAAAGATTTATAATCGATTATATAAGAATGTTGTACCTTAAATCTTCGAGTTCATAGAACATGTCCTTGTTGCTATCGTGTATGTAAACTTTTACGTGGGGACTGTCTAGGTATTCCATGGTAAGTTGTTTTGGAAAGCTTCTAACGAAAAGGGCCTTGACCGTGTCTATGCTGGTGATCTCATTTGGTAGCAATGCCCTCTTCGTCTCGTTCCTGTACTGCAGGAACACCAGTCCTAGGGAACCGCATACAGAAATGCATTGTTTTGTCAGGAATCGCAATATGAATTAAATAATATGTAAAATATTTTAGAAATATTAATATCTGTTAAAACTGGAATAAAACTATCGCAATCATAAATGTAATCTTAGTTTTAAGACTTTTAAGATTTTACTTAATGTACCTTTATATAATATAATCAATATTTAATTAAATATAAGTTTATGTTAATAGTTATTAAATATAAAATAATGAATCAATATATATGATTGATTTATTATTTTTCTTCGCCCATCTATATTTGCATTTTAATTATGCTTTGTGTATTACCTAGTGGTCGCTCCAAAGTCTTGCTGGGAGTTCGTACAACGGGCAAGCTGCTTCTTTGCTTGCCACCTCGTCGAAATCCCGTGCTGGAGGTTTCCACCTCGGACATGATGCCCGGGTCGTCATCGAAGAGCATCGTCGAAGAGGGGGGCGGATACCCGCGCGGAAGAGGCGACTGAAAATATATAAATTCCATAAGATTTCAATGTACTTATAATTCTTAAAAGTGCCTCTATCACGAATTGCTCATTAGTGGCATTAATAAAATTTAATATTTTATTTGTAATGTTTAATTTTTTTTTATAATTCATAAAAAATTGTAAACTGTTTTAAATAAATTAGATAATTATAAATTTAACACGCGATTTCATAATAGCTCTTATTATTAATTTACACAGCAGAAAATATTTTACAAATACCTATATGAAAATTGTATATAAGTAAAAATGTAGCTATTAAATAATTAAATAATATATCAAAATAAAAGTTTTTTTTAGAAGTTATAAAAGAATGTATACTCTCGTTACAACTTTGTTATATTATTCGGAATTTTATTATTACCTGCTATGCAAATGTATTTACAGAAACATTTTCCGAGCGAAAACAATTAAAAGACACACGGTAGGGTCGAGAATTAAATGCCACTCAGAGAAAAACGATCATGTCAGCATGCCGACATGCATGTTGATGAAAAAAAATACCTGATTGCGCAGGCAATCTTGCGTGAAAAGTACAAAAATTCGAAAATTACCTTTCTCTGGCGAGACTTGGTCCCCATCTGTCGGTGGCACACGGTGGGTAACACGGAAACACACACACAAAGTAAAAACCAGTTAGAAACGTATAATATGTGTTGCGGAATAAAAAAGAAAAACGTAATGGAAAAAGGCGATTGGAAAAACGATCGTTTTAAAGGGAGAGAAAGAGAGAAACAGATATGTGTACGATAGTATATCACTCTGAGGATCCAACTCTCTTCATCGACAGATCAGTCGTGTAACTCGGATGTAATTGCGGCCACAAAATACTACAGGCGCCAACTTCCTGTTTGTCGAACGGAAACGAGTTCCGGTTTCTCGATTTTTTCTCTTCTTTTTCTCTCTCTTTGTTTTTCTTTTCAAAGGTGTAGAAGCTTTCACGATAATCGATTCATTACTTCCAACGAAATATATATTACACATTTTGTTAACTATTTCTTTTATCTCGAAATGTCAATATTTTCTTTGTTTACGATTTGTACACGATGGTTTAGAAAGAGAAATGTATTTGTACAACTCGTAACGTATACGTAAAAATGTGTGTATATGTATAATTAATAGAAATATATTGTCTCTTATTGACTGCGTGTATTTTCATCCAAAAATTTAATTACATAGTAAATGTATGACTATATAAATGTGATAATTAATAAATATAACCCAACATATAAATATATATGCAAATTTAATCGAGATATATGTATACATATATTTGAATACGAGAAGCGTTTTATGTTGCTTTCAATGGAAGATATTACATATACGAAAGTAATTAATAACAGCTATATTTGAAACAGTAAATATTTGTAGCGAGTAATTAAATTTCGAAATTATTTTCTATTAAAATTTCTAATCCTCGTACACGAGTTTTTGGTTAATATATTATTAGACGAGTGGGGTTAATGGCTATTCGAGATGCAATAATCGAAGGAATTATTAATCGCGCGCATTAAAGACCGCAAAATTTAATAATGTACAGTAATAATTACGTTTGAGATATTACTTACGTCATACTTTATGCAACCGCTCGTCGGAGGAATAACACAATCACGCAGCCGCTCGCGCCATTTTACCGCATAATTTCGCGCGCGTCCTTTTCCCGCGCATTCTCGCTTGCATCGTTTTCCCGCGAATTCTCGCTTGCATCGTTTTTCCGCTCGCGCCATCTTGTCGCGTATTCTCGCTCGTCCCGTTTTCTTGCGCATTTTCGTTCAAATCTCATCGCGCGAGTGTAAAATAATTCGGCAATTTTATGCATACATATATACACACGTATTTACATATGTACATCTATATTCGTTACATCGACGCGATGCAGGTATATCATATCTGTGCAATATGATTGATCGATAATTTTGTCGATACTCCGCGTTTATCGCAGGCGACATTTATTCTCATTGTCAGTGATTTGGAAGCGTAATTTATACAGAACAAGTGATTCTTGATAACTATGACTTGAGGTACATACCGTAATATGTTATAATTGCGACCACGGCCATCGATTAATTACGTTTCTTCGGCTCTCACTCGATTACGTCCGCACCTCGGATGTCCGATGTCACGAATGATACATCAAACTAATAGCAAACAAGACGCGTAGCGCCATCTCGCGGTGGATCTCCGAGTCTCTTGTCGCGCTTCGATTGGTCGCTCGCGATTACTAATTCGCCATATTGGTGCTACGAGCGATCAACCAATCAGGACGAAGAAATCCTTGGCTCCTGATTGGTCGACCGAACTCGACTGCGATTATAATCGTAATCGAAGATTGACGGTCTTCACACTCAGTGTTGTTCATGACTGTTATTATTCTTCGCGGGATAGCTAGGTCGCGTGTGTCGAGTCGAAGTGCGGATTTATCGAGTGAAAAACGATAGCATCGATCCATTGCTGCGATTAACATCGCGCACATCGTAATCTAATTATACACGGCATTAAAATCTCGTATCTTGTAACGCCCGAATCGAGTTAATTTCTGCATAATATCGGTCGCAAGTATGAGCCGGGGCAGGAGCCGCGAGTGCCGCTTGAAGTTAGCCGGGCATCTTTTTCATCGCTGACGGAAATACGGTGTATCGCGTCGAGAGTGCGCCAGTTTTGGCGAATAAACTTTCCGCAAACGTATCTTCCGGAAAAAGTCGGGAGCGAATAAATTTTACGTACTATCCGAACAAAAAATATCGAGTGCTCCGAAAAAAATTTTGTCGCGTTTTTACAGTCGATCGCGTCGGTAGTCCGAAATTACGTATTTTCGAGCAGTATTTTTAATAAAATTAGTGTGAAAATTGCATCGTCGAGAATAAATGTCGCCAGATTAGCTGCAGCCTGCACATGTACAACACCCCCCATTCGACAACACATGGTGAGTACCTATACGTTGCTACAGACTTTGATAAAAAAAAAAGGAAAAGTAGAAAAGGTAAGAGACGAGAATAAAAAAATGTGAGAGAGAAAGAGAGAGAGAGAGAGAGAGAGAGAGAGGAGAAAAGGGAGCCGAGTAACACGCTGATGCATAACTGGAACGCAAGTTTATGATTACATTGTTGTGTGTGTATGCACACACACAACCATAAGGTAGGGATAGAAATATGTGTATATAGAACGTAGGGAGAGGCAAAAAGCTCGCTTGTGCTTTGATTATAAACACTGTCTCTTTAAATCGCTCGTGCGTTTTCAGCGTACAGATTTACATTTTATACACGATGTTTAAAAATATCTCATGAATAAAATATAATTTACATATGTTTCCCCTCAAGAAAATTAATGATTTTTCTCAACTGTAGTGTGTGTGTAAGAAAATATTATTTCTTGCAGCTATTTTTCATTAATAAAAACATTTGTCAGAATATTTTAATATGATATAATTTACAATGTGTAATGATTTATGAAATATATATTTATAATTAAATATGATTCAATATAATTTTAATATTATTTTTAATATAATTTTATACACTAAAAGAAAATATTGTTAACTTGATAAAACCTTTCAACAATAAATTACTATTTTGTTAATTGAACATATATATTAGTATTTAAGTCAAATATACATTTTGTTATATTTAATTTAAATATTTTTATATTTAATTAACAAAATAATATTTAGTTGAAAGGTTTTATCAAGTTAACCAATTTTTTTATTGTATAATATTTTAATAATTCGAGCTGATATTTAATTTATATTTTTTTATTTTCCAAATTGATTATATGTATAGATTTATGAAACAAAATATTTTCTCTATAAATATAATATTTTAATCTTCTTCCATTTTCAATATTTTAATCTTGTAATTTATTTTACAAAATTATTTAAACAAGTGAATCCATAATTTGGAACGATGTAATTTTGCGATCGGAAATTTGCAATTCTGTTTTTCGCATCGCATCGTAACAGAACGAATTGCATGCCGAGCGCGATGTCATTTTAATTGAGAGATACCGAACGCTTAGCTATCTCGAATGTGCACAACCTGCAAGCCCTATTCGATTATCTCCTACAAACCGCGGAGACAAGTCCGAGGATGCTCGATAACCGCGTGCCGAGAGCTAATCGATCGTACAACATTCATCTGACACGAGTGCCATGATCTTTACATCTTTCGAGCGCGAAGTTTAATGGCATATAAATTGGCAATTGCAATTAATACCGTTCCGGGAAATACGAGGATGATATATTTGCGATAAAAAATAAATGGCGCAGATGCGTTTAAAAATTTAATTATACAAAAATATGCACAGGATTTGACATAGATTTATATTATTTTCCCAAGCGATCGACTGGAATTAAATTAAATTTCCTATAAATCTCATGCTTAATTTAACGAATATTATCAGCATATTAAATATATTTTTTCTAGATCAAATACACATTGGAAAGAAAAATTTATAAACTTGACTAAATGTTTTAACTAAATGTTATTTTATTAATTAAACATATAAAACTATTTAAATTAAATATAACATATTAAATCTAATAAAACATATGACTTAAATATTAATATATATTCAATTAAAAAAATAGTAATTTAGTTGAAAGATTTAGTCAAGTTAACAAGTTTATTTTTCAGTGCAAAGTCATAAATTGACTTGAATGATTATGTCTATATCATTAATGAAACACACTGGATTATAAATATATCTTTTGAGTAAAATTCAATAAAATAATTCAAAATATGTCTACGTTTAAAGAAACATTAGATAATAATCTTAATTGAATAAAAAAATATATATTTTTTTAAATATTGTCTGTAGGTATTTTAGATTTTTAAAAATTCGTTTTATTAAATTTTCGAGGAAAAAAAGATGGAATATATTTATAATAGTTGACGGTAATATATTCAAATATTCGAAAGATGAAAGACGTAAAGTTTACATAATTACCCGTAGCTTTTAATTATCGTTAAAAGTTTGAACATTTAGGTAATTAAAAGGCAGAAAAATGAGCGAAAAATCTGGCAACACATTAAGAGGACGCAGTTATGTAAATTGCGTTTATGTTCGCTATGTCGGGAACCCTTCAATTATTGAGAACGCGCGCAAGAAATGAGGACATCGCAGGTGGATGATAATTAATTAACCGCTTCCCCTCATTACCCCAGCGGTTCTTGACCGCGCAATATCCGTTAAAGCTGAAGCAAGTATTTCAATAATATTATGCCAATTATCTACCTCGAGCCAATGTGCAATGATTTTGAAAAATTAAAAAAAATTGATCGCGTAAAATAATAACTTTATATAATAGAAATAGGTTTTTTTTATTTATGCACTAATGTAATGAACACTTTTTTTTTAATCTACGCAATTGAATAATTTTATATGTTAAATATTAATAACCCTAATAATCATATCATAATATTGTTGTATATTATACATGTACGGGGATTAGATTTTCATCAACAATATTCCACGATAATTAATACATGAGAATGTTTCGACACGCAAATGGTATATGGTAATCTTTCATCTATTATTAAATTCAACTTTATCACGATGCATGTGATGTGTCTCGTGAAAACTTTGCGATAAATTATATAGAAATTTATGCAATTATATACATAAGTTCCCGTATTCATCAATTATGAAAATCAATTATGTTAATTAATTTTAATTAACACATTTTTAGTTCACACTTGATATAAATGCGAATGTTTTGTATAATTCATAAAACGAATATTGCTGAAAAATACAACTTATACTTTTCCTCTTCTAACGGGAAAAAGAAAAAAAATCGTGAGAGAAAATGAAGAATAAATAAGTAATTGTAAAAATACATCATTGACATGTTAAAATAAACATGTCCTTTCTATAATCGAGTACAATATCGATACAATTTTTTGAATAAAATATTTTTGAAATAAAAAGGTAAGTACGTATTTCTCCATATCCTTTAATGCGAATATAATTTATTTTTGCACACAAAACGCGCATATTATAGAATTGAATAACATAACATTTTCCACTATCCTGGTCGATGATATAATTTGTATAATTTTGGATATCGAAATAATTGAAGCTGAATGATACAACAATATAATATTTTATTTGAGAATAATAAATTCGACGAATTAATTTTATTTCACGGAAGATAAACTAACCTGATTCTAAAAATGTGTTCATTGTTCTAAAAGTAATATTAATTGTGTGAAGCATACTCGATTGCATATTCTAAGTTACAATGCCACGTTGGAAAAAGCCAATTTAACGTATTGATAACGTTTATCTCGAGTATCGTTGATTATCTGAATTGTGTGGAAATACGAAGGGGAAATAGACATGTGGCGATAAAATGTCATTTCCAGTTTTTTTCTAATTTAACTTGTATTGTAATAAAATTTAATTAAATTGCACAAAACACGACTAGAGTACTATCTGAAGTCATAATAAGTGATGTGTGTAAATGTGAATTGTATGACATAATAATTTTTAATATTTGGCTAAAATATAAATTTGAATTTTTTTCTTTTTTCTGATTCCATAGAAAATTCTGTCTCGAAAGAAGGGCTCAAATATTATGTATCCATGAATACGTAACTATTCATTTATGCATTGAACGATATATGATACATATTAAATGATATTACGCGGTAAGGAAAATGTTCAGTTATTCATTAAAAATTTAATCTCAAGCAAGAAAAAATAAATGTTGTTAATGAAAATGTTGACATAAACAGAGATAATTAGATAAACATAAGTTAGACATAAATTTTTTTGAACACAGTAAAACATTCTGGATTTTTTTTAATAAGTAAGTAAAGTACAATGTAAACACGTGTGATAGTTAATATTACATATGTGCAATAGTTAATATCACGTATATTAGAAATGAATATAAACAAGTAAATATATAAAGAGAAAACATGGAAACAAAAAGCGGAAATTCTTGTACAGAAATCACACGAAATGAGAAATACACTTATATAATCGAAAAGAAAGGAAGGATTCAAATATTTAGACTCTTCTATCCCACTATCACAGTTTAGAAGAATAGTAGAATCTCGATACTTTAAATTATAAATGGACGTGACACTAATGTAAGTTATTAAAGATTTGTATAGAAAACCATGCAAAGAAAAAAAATAAAAGTAACGCATAATTGAACATGAATAATTAAAATTATTAATATAAATAATTGATGACTTTACACAGTATAAATAATAAATTATGCTGCTTATATACGTATAACTGTTTCTGTTCGTTTCAATTATTAATGTAATAACTAATACTAATAATTTATATTTAATGATTATGTTATTTCTAACATCCATAAAGTGTAGGTATAATTAATCGATTACTCATTTATGTCAGTCCAAATATAAATAATATAAATAAATAAATAACGAATTGAATTACTCCATAAATCGATCGGGATTCTACGCATTTATATATAGAGCTAGTGTCAATGAAAGAGGAAGGATACGAAAGTCGAGATACGAAAGATGGTGGCAAACAATGAAAATATATGTGTATTTACATGTTGCTTGAGCAAAGATTCACCTCGAGATCCATGGTGGTGTGCCGCGATGACGGGGTGCCGTATTGGCCGTGTGGTGGCGGCAAATGATGCGGGTGCAGAGGGTGCAGCTGCTGGGCCGCGTTGAACTGTTGATGATGAAGGGACGGTTGATGATCGCCGCCGAGGGTGTGCCTCCTAGGCTCGTCCCTCGAGCGGCCACCGCCGGAGGAACCCCGGCTGCCCGAGCCTCCGCCGGCGCCGACACCAACCCCCAAGACGCCACCGCCGCCGACGCTGCCGCCACCGCCACCACTTCCAGCCCTTCTGCCAGGTGTGAGCTCGTTCGAGCCGGGTTCAACCTCCCCCCTGACGGATCCACCTGAATAATCGGAAAGATATTTTTCGTCAGCGATGTATCGCGTTACGTATTCATTTATCCGCGAAAGAAGGATTACGAAATCTCGCGGGGCTATTTCGAAATTCTCGTCACCGGTGAAAAATCGAGGTAAATAGCCTGCCGACCTATTTGGCAGAAAGTAGCCGCGACAAAGCGTGTATAACCGAGAATAACGCGTTCGCGGAAGCGGCCGGAAATAGTGACACGTGCGTATGTACGTGCATGTATATTGCAGGGCGTGTTCTTGTTTCGTTGTCGCTCATCGCGGATGAGAAAAACGAGGAGGAGCAAGAGATTGCGCGTTAAATATAATAGTATCTGCGGCTACGCCCGAAATAGTCAGGAATCCGAGATAGACATCTCCGTTATATCTTGTTCAAAACTCATATTTATTTTGCTGGTTATTTTTACATGCCTTTTATTTTTTTATTATGATTTTTTTTACGAATTTTCGTTGTTTTTTAATCTTTGAGTATATGGATTTATTTGTTGCGTGTGGATTATTTTGAAAAAAAGATACCAGAGAGACATACATGCATGTATATATATATATATATACGTTGAACTCGCATAATTACACAGGTCATTGTCACGAACACAGGTCATTGTCACGGACACGACTGTCCTCGAGTGAGCAGAACGTATATAGGTACGTGTGCGCGCAAGATAGATTCACTTCCGTATTACAAAAGCGTCGCGCTCTGCCCTGTTTACCCGTCTTGCTCTCGACTTAATGAAATACAAACTCGCTGATGAATACCGGCGGCCGTTTCCTCTCTCAACGAATATATATATATGTATATACTTCCCCGGTCACAATCAATCTCGGGGAGTAGCCACGTGGAGCTTAACGACGCCGAAAGTTTCGGCGCGGAATCTCCGAGAGCTTCGGGAGAGAGAGAGAGCAAAATGGGTCAGAATATGGCGAACCGATGACAAGAGAACCATTGTCCAATTAATGACGAGATTCGAATTCCGTCCAAGCTGCATACATGCGCCGATTCGATCGTCATGGTAGAGCCATACCACGCGTAGGTGGCCAGACGTCGCGCATTTCGGTGTTGCTCCGAAATGGTGTCGTTCCGCTTAAACGTCAAATTGCTATCTGGCGAATGTATAAGTCGTAAAGCGTTATATGTCGTATCGCTCGATTTATTCGGGCATTCTCGTAAGGGCGAAAAGATTTTTATTTATTTTTCAATTACAAGAAGATTTTAATCGCGCGAATTTTACCGCCGAAGGATCTGCTGAAAAACCTGCCGAGCAGGTGTGAAAGTTCTTTGGCCCCGAACAAGGTTTCCCAACGATCCGAGTTTCCGTGATGTGTCATTTCATTACGCGATAAATGACGAATTCGAAGCCGAGAGCAAATGTGTGCACAGTTGACTATGTGTACTTCTACTTGTCAACATAGTACGTAATTTCGGGACCGAGAGAATTCGCGGGAGGAGTGTAGAAGTTTAAAGCGAAGGCGAGTTTAAATTCTATAATTGAATTCGCGTAAATTGAAATATATTATATAATCATGACTGTAAGTATATTACAAGTTACGTCAAAATGGACGGGATTAAAATTTTATATTTAATTTGCCGTGATTCATATATGATTGTGAGGAAAGTTAATTTTATTTTACGAATAGAATTCGCGTCATTATTATATTTACTGTGTAATATAAAATATGAGGCGATGGTGGGATAGTCTCTCATTGATCGTTAAGGTAACTTGGTAAATAGTAAGCCGTATACATACGCGAAAATTAGCTGCAAGTAATATCGAAACTACGTGCGTATTCTCTATTTTGCGACAATAAGCCGCACAAGTTTCAACAATAAAGGAGTTTATGCATCCTGGTGCGACACTTGTAATTGGCAACGTGAGTAAACTATACTCTAAACTCTGGCGAACCGCTTTGAAATTTTCAACAAGCACCTAATACGAAAACGCAAAACATATAATTTCGTAATAGCATAAGCCGATTATCGTCGAGAGAAAAGATCGCTTGATTTTGCTTTGAGCCTAAGATATAATCCGAGATATATTTTTTCAAACTTTTTAAATTGAAAAAAATGACCATTTTAATAAATATATTTATTTTATTTCAGCTTGCAAAAAAAATTTGAGTAAATTCAATTAATCAAGTACTTATGTTCATTTTTTCTTCTCGCGGCTTGTCTCATATTTTGTCACTTTGTTTAACGATATAATATTATCCGGCACGTGTTCGGTATCAGTGCTTATTAAAGTGTCATCCGTCAATCTGATCGACGTCCCTCTAAAACGAGGGTGCAAATAAATTCCCTCGATAAACTGCGAAAAATTATAATTTGAGAAACGTGAACGTTCTGGGAAGAACTATCAAAGAAAAATCACGTAACCAGTAGAGATATACGAAAAATAATTGCATTCATTTATTTTAATTAATTAATAATCTCAATATTTTTTTCAAATAAACCTGTGTAACTTTATCTATACGAATGAATTTTTATTGAATTTTTACATCTAAAATTCTGCAATATCTTCAAATTGACAGAATATAACATTTTATAGTGAGTATTAATTAATGGTCAATGATCAATGATTAATCTATCACTGGCCATAGTTGACATAATTGGCTTTTTATGAATTTGAATTGTCTTGATTGGAATAAGTAGGCTAAATTACAGTAATTGCTCTCATACACTACATGTTTCGTAGAAGACAGAAAGAAAGGAGAAAAAAGATATCAATAATATTTTAAAAATCTCGAAAATTTTAGAATAGTGAATTAAAAAAAGAAAATTAATTTTAAAATACTAATTACTTCAGTAATCATATTACAATAAACAACATTCATCGACACCAATTTCTTTCTTTAATTCCCTGTAAATTCCTTAATAAGATTTAATTGCACAGATAGTAATATGAAAAATTGGGAAAAGACTGATAAATGCACTGACCTATCTTGATGCATTTTCACTACGAATAAATGATCTGCCAAAGAACTTACCAATGAAATTCTATCTGTATATTAATTTCAATTTACACTTTATCTGTGAAACAATATCGATAATTTAATAAATCTTCCACGAAATTACGTGCACTCGCGTCACTTTCTATATACTATACACACTGTAGGTAAACTCTAGACACGTCGAAGGCGGTATACGTTATATACAACGTCGGGAAGAGTACTGGCAACGATGACGGTATCCTCGTACGCGTTTATTTTCAGAAACCGAGCGTGCGCGCTCGTCGAGAAATCTAATCTAACGCTCGGAAATTCGATAATCCGTAGCGCAGATAAGATTTTCTACATACGTATATATATGTAGGTACAATAGGCATACATGTTCAGCTGCCTCTCTCGTATCCTGATTTCTCTCAAACGTGCGTATAAAACGGAACACAATACGATGTCTAAGTTGTTTTCGATAAAACAAAGAAAATAATGAAAAACAGGAGTACAAATATGTAATAACAATTTTAATCGAGCGAGAAATTTTTATATTTTTTTTTTTAATCGTTCGACCTGGCTACTTTTGAATTATTATTCATATTTATTAATGTAGTTGCGTCGCGCATTTATCTAGATAGCCGAAAGGCAAGACGAGAGCGATATAGAGAATCAAGTGCCTTTAATAAGGACCAATAAACGTTAGTTACGTCATTAAACTCGAAGATGTTGTTGGAGATTATTTCATGCGCGGCTGCAGAAACGATCGATTTGTAAAGTTATATATATATAAATGGCAAATATAATTACGATATGCTAATACCGTTGCAAACTGCGTCGGTTATTTTCCCCCTGTGTATTCATCCGAATCATGTCTTTTCCGGTTGTGAATACTCGAGGAAAATTAATTTACTTGCCAACGGCAGAACTTCATTATTTCTTGATCCTCTTTTAGGACAAGTAATTTCAGAAAAATTCGAGTACGTAAAAAGCCAAGTTTCATTAATTCAATTATAAATAAATAAGACTTCTCTATAATATATAGATATTTAAACAATTTGAAGATAATTTATTACATTTTTAAAGTTAAAATTATGAAATTTTTTTGAACAAGACTTTAATTTAACATGTCTATATTAAAAATTAATATATGTGCACGAAGAAATGTACCTGTAATTTTAAAACATTTCAATCTTTTAATTTGACGTTTAACATACATTTTAATTTGATATTCATTTATAATTAGGTATATGAATTATTTATACAGTTGTCTATTAACACAAGTGATTATATCAGTGTCAGCTGCCTCTCTGAGATAGCATTGTTCTCTTAAATTAAGAGTGAAGTTATAACGAAGATAAATATCTTTTTTTTTTTATACGAGCATCTCGTGTGAATCCTAAAAATATTTCGATGAAGACATATTTTATACGCGGTCGTTATAATTAATGTATAATCACGATAAGATCGAATCGCGAGCTTATCGTGACGACCTTACTTACGATGGTATACTGTCGACAAGATACTTAGGTTCTACGACCTCGTTTCTATCCACTGCGTGCCCCGAGCGCGAAAATAGATCAAATCGATATACCAATGAGAAGAAAATACACATCTGGGAGCGATGATTGAGGCGAGTGTAATGTAAACTTTATATTTCCCTGTACCTTATACGCTATATTTTTAGTAAACCAATGAGCGCACAAATCAAGAAATTAATTCCTGATTGAATAATTATTCAAAATGAATATCGTCTACGTTATCGCTCTAAAAATAAACATACTCGCCATTTTTTCTGCATATAATATTTTATTTTCTCTCTTGATAATGTGATGTTGAAGAAGAGAAGTTTTATTTTTCCTAAGCAAAACGGGAATTAAACGTAGTCACGCATTTAAAGAGCAAATTTCGTTCAAATAACTTCTAACATTTGAATACAGGAATACGAATACAGGAGAGAGAAAATACGATTGTATAAATAGATCGTTCTCGGTTTGGAATTCGCTGACATTAACAATTGTCGCGACATAGGAACGAGGAGGCCATAAAT